GGATTTCCCATTACTAGTGTCTAGCCCATACAGTCTCCGTGATGGACACTCTTCCCCTGCCCTTGTCTATCTTGAACAGTAGCTGCAAGACATAAACAAGCAAGACCCCAGGTCCAGCTGTTTCCCTGTCCTCTTTGCTCTCCCTGGTTCATGCTGATCCTAAACAGCACAGCCAAGTCCAGATGAGAAGCAGACAGCTAAAAAAATTACAGCCCTCAGTTGTCTATCAGAAGGGCTTGGCAGGGTCCTGCTGCTGCCTCTGTTAGCAGCTGGGTGGAAAATGCTGCTCAGCCTGCATACCTGAGGCTTGGCATGCCTTTCCCTCAGGGAAGGGGATTTGGTATCTGCTCTAGGTGAAAGGCCCTGGCAAGGGGTGACAATGCATTTTGAGGGGCTGCTTTGCATCAGGAGAGTGGCCCAGCTCAGGGCTCCCAAGAGAGCCAGGCTGTGGCTCCCTGCTGCCCATCTCTGCCCCCTATTTTGCAGCAATCCATGAGCCAGCTGGGCAGGGCATCATGCCCCTCCTCTGCCCAACACAGGCAGCTACCAGCCCCATAGGAGTCACAGTGCTGCTTGCAGACCTATCTTCCCAGTAATTTTCCTAGCCCAGCTCACCCTCACTAAAACAGTGACCCAGATATGACCCTGACACCGCCGGTAGCTCAACAACCCTCCAGAGACAAGGTTCAACCTCAGTCAGAGTCCCTGGCTTTCCCAAGGGATGAGGTCAGGCTCAGACACCCCAAAGTCTCCATCTTCCTCCTCGCCAGCTGTGGCTCCGCTGCCCTGCTGTGGGTCGGAGGCTGGGGAACATGCTGACGAAGAGAGATTTTGTCTCTGCACGTCAGTCAGGCTTAGGGGCCCACCGAGTGGGGAGGGCCATGGGGGCAGGCTGCTGGGCACACCATCACACCCACATTGCCATCTAGCCTCCTGTTCTGGGATGTGCAGCTCACTGCCCTCACCGTTGCCAACCCAGTGATGCTCACTTTAAACCAAAGCCCTGTTTCTGGCTGCATCACCCCCAGTTCGGTTGGGGTTTCAGCCATCTCCCCTTTTTCCCAGCCCCCAAAGTCACTGGTTGCCTCCCCCAGCTGTGGGGTCAATCCACACAGCTGGCACAGGGCCATGAGACAGGGCTGCCTGTCTCCCAGTCATGGTCTCCAAGCAGATGGAAGACATCAGCTCCCTGCTGCATCCTTCCATGATAATCTGTCTCACCCACTTCCTTTCAGGGACACCCCTTCTCACAGCCAGTTAATCCCCAGTGCTTGCCTGTCTCTTTCCAGACCCCAGTCCTCACCAGAGAGCCTCGTCACAACTCTTTTCTGGGCAAGCATGTCCCCAAAGGCCATCTCTCTCTACCTATGCAGGATGCTCTAAGAAAAGACCCCTCCTCCCCAACCCCCATGGAAGAATGTCTGGATACAAAGTCCCCACCATCACCAGATGAACAGGCACCCTCTGGGGAGCTTCAGCTGATGCAAACCTCATATCCAAATGCACAAGAATGGACACTAATCCAGGGACCCAGTCAAAGCTGACCAGGGAGGCACATTTGCAATGGGGCAAGAAGAGCCTAAGAGGACTCTGCCTTTGGCTTCTCCATCCCTCTGCAGTGGGTGGCAGCTCCCCCAGAGGCTGTTCAGATGATGGAATTCCCCCTAACCATGTCTCACACAGAGAAATGTTTCCATTTACCATATAAAATCATGTTAATGGCAGAATAATAAACATAAACAGGGAACAGGGGAGAGAATGACATTCTGACAGCAGCTGAGATAGGTATTGTTTTGGGGTTTTTTCCCTCTTCTGAGGGAACCATCCCACCTGTCTGCAGCCATCCTTTAATAAAAGGACCTGCAGGAAGAACTGCTATGCAGAGGAAATCACATCTGCTTTCCTGGTAGGATGAATGCACAAGGAAAAACCTCCTATTTGGGCTTCAGGCAGATCCCAAAGAAGGATGCCACAAGCCAAAGCCCAGGAAACCCAGCAGCTGCATCACTGCCTCGCTGCTCAGAAGGCAGCAAGGGCACATCTGGAGAAGAGCAGAGGGCAGCCTGGAAGTTGAGAGCAAATGGGTATCATCCCCTAGGCCAAAACAAAAGAGAGGATCTGGAACTGAGGAGTCTTGAGCAGGACCTGCTCAAAGAAAAAGAGAGAGAGCCTGGAGAACCCGCTTCAGCCTGGGCTGCTGGCAAGGCCCCATCCACCTGCCCCTGCCTGCACAGGCTCTGCAGCTAGAGCAGCACTGGAGCAGTACTGGAGCAGTACTGGAGCAGTACTGGAACAGTCAGGGGCTGACTGTCTCACAGCCCTGGTGGAGCCAAAGTCAGTGGGATGAGTGGGAGCAGGCTAAGGGCTCATCCACAAGACTGACCCTTTCCCCTCAGAGAGATACTGCCACAGGCAGCGCCTGGAATTTGCCAAGCACAGAGCTGTCATCATAGGCCACGGATTTCTGCTGAGGTTATGTTCCTCATGAGGCAAGACAGGTAAAAACTGCAGGAGACGCACTACAGGATATGCTTAGCTTAGCTGTCTGCATGTCTGCTTATTAAGCTCTGAGATTAAGGATTTAGTTCCACATATCAGTTTACTTAGAACTAAAGCATCACTTCACATTTCAATCTCAAGTATGCTGCATTGTCTTGCCCACTTCCTCTCATGCCCTCTCCCCATGACCTCTTCCTCAGAAAAATGCTGGAAAGTTATTAGCAAATATTCTGTGAATTGTTTAATATCCAAACAGCAGGATCTGTGCATCCCATGAGAGATTCATAGCCCTTATGATCAGGACAAGAAAAACAAGGATTGTTTGCAGGCCCCCAGGTCCTACTGGTAGATGCTTTGAAAGTGGAGTTGTTGCCAAGCAAAAATCTCACAGTAAAGCATCCCTTTAGATGTGTTATAAACCAGGCTAGCTCGGACCGAGGTATTCCAGCTTAGGATAGACCCCACTTCCACTCTGCTAACAGACTTTGCACAGAAACAAATACCCCATACAAGTGCCATTTGAAACTCTACTTTCCAGCGCTGTGCTAGTGGAAGCCATCTTCTTCTTCTGTTCTCAAAAGGATTTACATTGAGGAAGGCTGAGCTCCTTCTATCTGCAGGAAGGCCATGACAGACCTTTCAATTTGCTTATGATTTGTTTATTAAAAAACTAGAGAAGTATTTATGTGTTTATCAAGGCTGGAGGAGTTTCAAAGGTTGTAGGTTTCCTAAAGCAAGACTGCAGAGCTGTTGAATGGCATAAACACTTCCTCTAAAAATGCATAAAATCATATACTCTTTTTCTACTCAAAATACTTTAGTCTACTACTGGGATGAGCTTTGAAAAAGCTAAAAACCACACCTGAAGTGGGCTGTGAAGATTTATTCACTGATGGCAGGGCACAATGCTGCCTTTCCCACCTCTTAGCCAAACTCAGAAAGATTCAGCACCCTGCAACCCTTGCTGGTGCCAGCGTTTATCCCAAAAAAATAAAAAAGAGCACCAGGAGCATCCCATGCTGACCCAGGAACAAATTTAACCAGGGAAAAAGGCAATGGATAATGTCTGAGACATCAGGCTGTGCCATGCCCCTGTGACACAGAAGCAAACCCCACCCAAGGGAGGGAGGTCAGTCATGCTTATCTTGGTGACTGGCACGCAGAGTTTGTTCGCTGTCCCACTTAGAAAAGTAGCATAAACACCTCCTCTGAGCATGGACAGTTCTGGAAATTGACTGCACTCAGGCTGGAAACACTGACTTCAGGTGAGCATCTGCTCTGCTGCTATGCCAGTGGGCAGGCTGAGGGCTTAAAGGCAATGCCCACAGGGCTCAGAGGACTCAGAGCAGCAGACCCAATGTTCCCTGGCCCATGGACAACAGCGAACAAAGAACGTGCTGCCAGCAGCAGATAATTCTGTTTTCCCACAGAACTGAGTTCACAGAGAAGTTTTACTGAGTGGGACAGTGCCATAACTTAAAGGTTAATGCTAAAATTATAGTATCATCTTTTGTGCATTACCTGGAATAATGGAGTTCAAAGGGATCCAGGACTTGCCTTCTCCATGCATGATATGGATTTCACAGTGGGAAGCATGGGGCAGATACATCTGCAAGGAGTAACTGGCATGGAGTGTGGAATAGCTCAGCACTGCACTCTTCAGATCTTCACACTGGGGGCAACGTAGTGCCAAGGTAAGGAGCTTTCCCAGCGCAAGGGCAAGGCAGAGCCAGCCACCACAGCCACCAGACCTGTGAAGAGTGAGCTCGATGGCCTGAAGCTGGCCAGAGTCCTGCTGACTGCACCCCCTGCACCCTCTTCCCCAGCACTGTTCTATCTAGGACTGCTCTGCCCCAATGTCCCTTTACCAGCCATGAGCACTAAGTTTCTCTGCTCAGCTCCACAGAAACACAGCTTTTTGGCTCCTGGATCACAGCTGGCCCTGAAAGCAACACTAGCATTTGCCTGCTGTTGTACCTGAGCTTAAGAAGCTGGACAACAGCCAGTCTCACCAAATAACATCACAAACAATGTCTGACAACTGTCCCAAAAAGGAATACAAAAGGAAGGTTCTTTCTGTGGACCCTTCAATCTGAACTCAGCCCTTGCATTAATCGGAAAACACAATTTTCAGAGGTTGGTCAGGTGGAGAGCACAGGCTGCATCTCAAACCCACCCCATTCAGTTCCCCTTCCTACCTCTGCTTCCCAATGTCTGGCATGCCCTGTTCAGCCACACGCTGCTGAAGCTGTAGGCCACCGTGTTCTCCTGATTCTGATTCCTCCTACATACTTCTCTTAGGAAAAAACATAGAAACTAATCTTAATGAATGTCCCCAAGGCACCAATAGTTCATTTTGTATCTCTCCTACTCTATCACTTGTGAATCCATTTTGTAGACCTCAGTGTCACTGGACCAAGGGACTGAACTTTGTGTCTTGCTCGTGGGGAACTGGGAAAGGCAGAAATAGGGAAAAGAGAGCATAAGCAGTACAGAACAAGGATTTTCATGTTCTCATTTTAATGATGACAGACAAATTAACACCACAGGAACAGTAAGGGTGAAGGACCATTTCCCAAACAAACTGCAGATGTTTTGTGAAATAAATCAACCTTCTTTTGGAGAAAAAGAAACTATTTTAACATTTAAACTAGTTGCTTGTAATTCTTAAATAGAAGGAGAGACTCTTGATGAACCTCAACTTTTTCACGTTTCATCAGTTTGTAACATCAAGTAACATCTACTGTATGAAAGGATATAACAGGATTGCTAAAGAACTCCCTTAGCTTTCACACAAAGTTGCGGGCAATGGCCAATACTTTGGAGAACTCGCCTTCTTTCCGTCGCAGGATATAGGGTATTGGTGTTTTTATCCTAGTCCCGATTGGATTTCCGTTATCTTCTATGAGTACCACATTGTTGGAATCAAATCTAGGCGTCATGGTGGGGCCAGGCATCTTGTGCCCTACAATTAAAGCTTTCTTCTTTTCTCCTTTGATAGCCAGAAGGATTGTATCTCCTACTTTGCCAACTCCGGTCTTGTTATACACGTGGATACATTTTGGTGGCCGGTGGTAGGACGTGTTCCCCAAGGCGCTGTTGTCCACCACTCGCACGCGGGTGAGTTTCTGTATTGCTCGGCATGCTCCAGTGGTACTAGCATAAGACAGGAAAGAATGAGAGACAGATCTCCTCAACAGTCCTTGGGGAGAAAGGGCAAACTCGGCACAGAATCTTGTCATTACACAAACCACTCGGAAGGCGCCAGCAATAAATACATACCATATGGCTGACACATTGACTGCATTCAATGTGCTCTTTGAAAGCCAGATGCTACTTTGGGCTTTGCACACTCGTCACTAAATGTCAAACATAAAACGACCGTTCTCCTCTGAAACACGACTAAAAGATGGCGTGAAGAGTGGCTTGCATTTCATGGGCTCTTTAGCAACTGCAGATGATTCAACTTCAATTTACAAGCAAAAAAATGTGCTTGCTTCTGTTACGAACAGCCTGCAGGAAGCTAAGACTCAAGTCAGGCTCTTTCAATCTTGTACACATTCCCCAGCAATAAGGACTTTTATGACTAATCTTCTTTATAGTGAAGTCTGTGAGGGTCTCCCATTTTATTCTGCTCTCAGTAAGATCTCTGAGGACCTGCTGTGGCTGTGCTAAGCTGTCACCAACTAGAATCTAAGAGATCATCACCTTCCCCATGTGGGAGGAATCCAGAAAGATACAGTCTCTTCTGTATCTGTTTGCTCTGTGGGATTACCAGAAGCAAGGAACAACAGAAATAAACTGCACAATATTAAATAGTTAGATCTGACTCAGAATATGCTTGAGAACAGCAGGAATAAACTCCCTTACAGAAACCACTATTCTTTTATTCAGTGAGCTCAAACTTAAGTGATTTGTTGCTTCTCTTCAAAGGACACCCAAACACAGACCATTGGAAAAGCAGAGAAATCCTTTCTACTGCTAAACAACTGCTTTGCATTAAGGTATAGAAACATGCTGGCCAGAGCTGCAGGAATGCCAACCTGCTGTCAGCTGAACTACTCAGGAGACAGCATATGGAATCAACCTAATCATTCACCTTGTTTTTCAGAGCAGAAGCTTGTACAGTAAATAAAGACTAATAGGGACCATCATCCCTTCCGGAAGATGAAGGGCCTGTATTTGCAAAGCTGCCTAGAAGACAAGCACCAAACCTAGTGTGGATGGACATGAGCTGAAGCAGATATTTTTACACACAGTGAGGGAAGGCCAGCTGAGTCAGTATGTGTTAGTCTAACTGCTCCAGAGGTCAAGCGCTGCCTTACAAGATCTGTTTTCTGCAGCAGAGGCATACCCCTGCTTTCCTGTCTCTCTCAAAAGTCACTCACCTCTGCAAGCAGCCACTCCCTCCCATTCCAACCACTGGCAGGGACTGTGGTATACCACACTCTCCTCTGCCTGCTGTCTGTGGCTGCACAGCAGGGGAGACATAAGGGAGGAGGCTGGAAAGGGAGAAGTATTGTCACAGGAAGGAGAAGGGAAAACCTAGGTGGGACTGAGTGTATAACACAGAAGTAGCAAAGAGCTATGCAAAGTAACTGCAATAGGAGTACTTTTCCTTCTTTCTTCATTTTTGCCATGGTTTTGGAGCAAAACTCCACCCCAAAAGAAAGGCTTCCCTATTAAGAATGTTGAAGTCCTGCTTATCTCTATGGACTGGACTTCGCCTCAGTCTTGCTGTCTCTTATATATGTTTTAAATGTCTACTGGCCAATGCTCTCATGCAGCCCACTTACAGAGAAAGCCAGGAAGACTTGGTCACCTCCTCGAGCTAGCTCCTGGGACTATCACACAACCTAGCCCTGAGCATTGTCTTAATCCCCTCTCTAGACCACAGTCACGGGAATTACTATTCTCATCCTTTAAACTGGTGTCCTCATCCTTCAAAGAGTTATATGCTAGAGATTCACCATACCAGATGAGTGTATTGTGGGACTAGGCTCTAAGCTTTGTTCAAGGTATTGTAAAATATGAAGTCCATAAATTTAAAAAGCTTTAAATGCCTTGAGCCTGGAACAAGAAACTAAAGAAAAATAACAAAATAGACACTGTTAAAGCATGAGAAAGTAATTTCTGATTATTTTTGTTCTAAATAACTGTAATGATAAACTCTTGAATAATTTTAAGGATGTAATTGGGTCTGCATCAGCAGGAGCTGGCTATTTTGCACGTCCATCAGAAACACAGACACTTTCAACTTCTGCTTGCAGGCCCATGCATTGCTCTCAAATGCTTAAAAGCGTCCCTACATATGAAAATGCAGAGTTCAAACTGCCAAGAATCTGTAAAAGTAGTGTTTGGGCCTACTTTTCAACCTTCAAGTGAAGGGATAACTCCGAGACTTTTTTGTTTATTTATTATATTATTCATTTGAATTACAAATACTGTATCTTATGTTTGACCTACTTAATAGCATCTCTTTCAAACAGGAAATGCTCTGAAGAAAACAAAAGCAAAATCTGAAGATTACCTGAACTGTCGCTGGAGCACCGCACTGCTTAGATGGGTTAAGGATAAAACCAACCGTCTATTCAAGAGAGCCATGTGGATTCTGGTAACAAACCTGCATAAGAAAGAAGAGAATTATGAACTCTGGAAAACTGACAGAATTTGGTTTGCTTCCTTTCCTTTACGTGAATCACACACCAGAGCCTCAGCACTTATTTAAAGGCTGCAATCCACAGCAGAGAGTGGTAGCAGCGCTCACAGCGTGCTACAAAGCAGATCTACAACCTCTGCCTGACTTCAGGAGGCAGTGTAATTCAGACATATATACTACAAAGCTGGATTCAGTATTACTGCATTGCAGTTTCCTATGCACAAAGGTAAAGGCCCTTCTGTGTGCACTGTGAATCATGTAAGAAGCAGGTTTAGAATTTCAGATGTAAACTAGTTTAGTGGCTGTGGTGTCCAGTAAAAGCCATCAAGATTACTTGTAAGTGCTACCAGGGTTATCTACAAAACCAATCAAAAATCCCAAGATACTCTGCAGACTGGCATCAGAGCTTTAAAAAACCATTTGCCAGACAAGAAGCAAGTCAGAGCTCTGCTGGTGAGGGCATGCTCCCCCTTAGCATATAAAGGTGTTTAGCAGGCTGTCTTTGCAGACCACAGCATCACTGCTGCCAATCTTGCCCTGTTCAGGCTGCCTGGGGGAACAGTTCCCTGTAACTTTACAGTGCTCACTCAACCCAGAGTGAAACACCACCCCTGAATGCAGCTGAGTTGGGTTACAGGGGTAACCTCTGACTGAGTACCACACCCTGACTACACCTGACTACATCTACAGCAGTTCCCTAACCTCATTCTGTCAGACTGACGGGGACCAGCTTGCATGCACAGTCACAAAGGCTTATCTGAACCTGGATCACTTTCCCAGACATCATCAGGAAGCACTAACCCAGGTGGTTATGCTGGCAGATCCAAGTGAATGGAGAAAACATAGATCTAAAGCCAGTCCTCTTTCAGGCCAGCCCAGGTACAGCTAAGACTTTCCACCTGACTGTAACTACTGTCATGTGACGGTACTGCTGTGACCTTGGCAGTGTAACCAACACAGACTCTGCTTCTCTCCTTTCTAAAGAAAACATTAAAAATCCATTGACCTCATATCTCTCTTTGCCAGTTCTGATGAGTTTTGGGCCAAACTATAGCAATACATCATAAAGCCATTTTCTTGACTTTTATTTTAAAAACAAAACTTAGCTTCTTTAGAGAGAAGAAACTAACCAGAGCCTTGTGACAGACGATGCCACAGCTCTTCTTATTACAACCAAGACCAGCCTAAATCTTCACTCCCTCTTTCATTGTTTTTTCCTCCAGTTCATTTGCTTACTTGGCAGCTTTTCTACAGAGCAAGTGTTACCTGAGAGCAAGATGAGAAGTATGAGAGATGTACACCACAGCAGCTTTGAGCAGCATTTCCTGAGTAAAGCGCACAATGTGTGGCAAACCATCTCGCTTGTCATGCAGGCAGGTTTGGAAGAGAACAGCAACAGCCAAAGCTTAGATTTATTTACTAAACAAAGTCACTTTTCTGTGGGGTAGATCACCAAATGAGTTCAGAGCTTTCCCACACTGTCCCCTCTCTGAAATGAGATTCCAAGAAGGCTGTGTTTATGCCACAGTTCCTTACCTAGCTGCATGATCCTAATGACAGCAAGGCCCTGGGGCATTTAGAGCTCTTCTGCCAACCAAAGTCCAATACCTGGGCCTTGCTGCTGCTTGGATTTCTGAGCAAATTCAACTGTGTTGACTTGCTTAAGCCCACAGTCTGCCTTTGTCTTGTTCTGCTCTTGGGTGTACTGTCTCCCCATATGAAATTCAAATCCAGAAGGTAATACTGCTCCTACTTCCTCAAGAATCACACTGAGTATTTGGATCCCCATACAAAACCCAAACAAGCAGCAGCAAGTCAGCCTCTCTGGTGTCCTTGATGGATGCTTCTTGGGGAGTCCAGCTGCTACTGCCACCTGTCTCTATTTTCCTGGCAGGCAAGGTGGCCTTAGTGGCTGGAGAGGATGGGTCTGCTCATCCTCACCACTATATAAGACCAATAGGAGAGGTCTGCTGGCTCATGGCAAGGCACACACAGGCACACACTGTCAAAGGGACAGCAACATCAGGACCAGCATAGCCAGATATGCTAAAGGCACATCTAAAATGTCCTAAAGTGCTGCTTAAACTCTGAACTCCCTCCTCGCTCCTGGGTGGAGTCACTGGTTTTTTGTACCCTATGGCAGCAGTGAAGGTTTGAAGTTACAAAACTACCAGCAGAAGCATCAAGAGCATTAAATGTCTAAGGACTGTTTATTTTTCCAGATGACTCAGTACCCCTTTCTTAGCTAAGAATTATTTCTCGGCACGTTAGGATGTGTCACAGGCTAAGAAACTTCACATGATTGATTATTTGGTATGAAGCATCCTGTTAGGAACTTAGTAAACAGGGGGGATGCTTCCAATTAGCAGGAAGGTTCAGGGTGGAGGGAAGAGAAAAATGCATCTGTGGCATGGAGTACAGCATTCAAAGGTGCAAGTGGGTTCACAAAGAATGAGTCATAACTTCAGCTATCATAACATGCCAGTTTCCTTTCTAGAACCGAACAGCCAATAGTTTGGGTCTGTCTCCAGGTGCTCCTCAACCAGACCCAGTCCCAACTTGTTCCCTCTTGTGGCTGTGACCTTGATCTCCCCTGCCCTTAGTTTTCCCCGCTGTGAAGTGGCTAATTACTAAATAACTAAACTCCAAAGGGCACAGAGGCCCTTCACTCTGTCACACTCGGTGCTGCCACACGAACACTCCGAGGTGGTGCCAAAATTAAAGAGCCTCTATAAATTGATGACAGCCATCGGCCCCAGCGCTCCTGGCACTTTTCTCCTTCCCAGTGCACATGTTGCCTCACACCAGTAGGCCTTAAAAAGGCTGCACTTAGCACAGGCACGGGGAATGCATGTGACTCGAGTATGCTTCTGAAGGTGGCTCTCCCCAGGTTTCAGTGCTCAGGGGTGTATGGGAAGAGTAACACCTTAACCTTCAAGCACAGGAAAATTTGCAAGAATTCCCAGTAGTCTTGCCTGGGAGTATTGCCCTGTCAGTATTGCCCAAGTGATACAGGAGTGCAGCCCACAACACCCTGGGACAGGCAAAACACTACCACTGCTTAGTACTTAGTCACTAATACATCCCAGACCAAGGATTTATCTTGGAAGAGACTTTTGGAGGTCACCCAGTCCAATCTCCTGCTCAAGCAGGATTAATTCCCAAGTTGTTCATGCTAGGCAAAAGCAGTATTTAAATGGACATTATCCTCAAATGAGAGGCCTAACACAAAGATTGATATAACATTGACCACTCATAGCTGCACCAAAGCAGTGATAAAGAACTGTGCAGAGAAATCTCCCAGTTCCTACCCTGCTGCAGTGGCTCTATCTCATAGTTAGACTAATTTTTTTAAATCAGCATCACAGAGACACTTGGCCCCTCTCCATATATCTGTTAAAAGTTAGCACAGACCTCAGACAAAAGCTCAGAGTAAGACTCAGAAAGGGGTGAAGAATTTGTTAATCAAATATTCACTAAAATGACCCAATTTCTACTTCATTGAATAAGTCTGAGTACACAATAACCTGCTGCGGTAAACAGTTTTCTCAAGGGCCCTTCAGTCTTACCACATTAAATGCAACAGACTGACATCAAATTCCAATACTGCACAACAAAGAACTCTTCACCAGTTATAAACCTCTGGAAGTTATTTATCCACTGCACCATTTTGAAGTGCTAAAGCTATCACCTTCACTATTTTTTCTTGATATTAAAGAGCTAACTTATATTTACTGCAATTTTTAGTTGTTTTTGAATGGAGAAATTCTGGAAAACTTCATCCCAGCTAACAGAATTGGGCCACATACAGTATTTTCGTCAAATGTGTGCGAACACATGAGTAGATCACCTCAGGGAACTGATATAAAGCAAGGGCATCTTCCAGATAAGGAGAGCAGGATTACGTACTCACTTTGAATGAACATCAGGGCACATAGTACGAAGAAAGGAAGATCTGCGTCCCCCCATCACACATTTCCAGCACCTCCCTTATGCTGGCTTTAGCACTTATGTAAATCAGACAGTTTTCAGCTAGATCAGTTCCCTGATCCAACTCAACCTGCAGCCACGTGAATGCTGGGGGCAAAACACAAGACTGGGACTTTTCCTTTCACTGCCAACCCAGGCTTATGTGGTGACAGTATCTCCAAAGAAACACAAGGAGATTTGGACAAGAAAAGGATCTCTTTCATTACAGCACAAACACCAACGTGCTTCACAAGAATGGTCTGCATGAATCTGCACTACTAACATGGCCATGGGAGCACTGAAAAGGTCTGTGTCTGAGCACTCAAGGGGCCACTGCAACAGCTCTGACCAAGGTCTTATCAGTGGCGCATATCCTAAAAACCATTCCTACCCTGCCTGCATCCTAGGGTGAAGGTAATTTTAAAGAGTGCTGTTGCCTAGCAATCGAGTATTACTTTCCTTTTTAATCACAAGTTTGGAAACTGACACCTGCTCCCTATATTCCCAAGACCTGTAGCTCCATAACCATTCAGCTATTTCTTTTCCTTCTTTCTGCTAGTAACTCATCCACAAAAACAGGCCCCATGGAAAACCAATGGATATTGCAAAGCAAATGTTGAGGCCTACTACCCAAAAGCCTGCTGTCAAATACACAAAATAAACCAGGGAAAAATATTCTTCACTTTAATAGTAGTAGCCTGATCTGCACAAACAGTGGGGACCAACATCACCTTTATCCTTCTAAAAGACAAAACCAGACATGCTCCAGGCACCATAAAGAATTGAACTGCATCTGTCATCCATCATTAAAACACAGGAAATAAACCCAAGACAGTACATGCAATGCAAATATCTAAACCCCTACTCTGCCACTGCAGGGTTATTTATAGACCAGCTGCCAGGGTGAACTACAAATGTGAACTATGGGACTCAATCCATTCACAGCTCTCCTCATAAAGGAAACAACGTGATTAAGGGCTGTGTGTTAAAAATACACAAGCTATTCATTACCAAGACATAACTGGCTTTACATTAATGACAGACAAATAGGCCAGGATTCACAAAGAGGAATTAAGTCTTTTTTAACTCTGTTTATGAATAGGATTAGCTATTAAACAGGATATTTATTGATCCAAGCTACCAACAGAAACTCATTATAGGTACATGTGTTAACAATTTGGAAGCAAAACAAACCTCATTTTCCAGACCACAATCAGGAATGGCAGATAAAAAGAGATCTGAATACCTTTAAAAGAAAACTTACTTTTGATATTTTAAGTACCCAGAAGTCCCAACTTTTGTAAAGTAATTATGGCACTTACTGTTTTAGTATTCAAACATCTAAAGCCATTCTATATATTCATATTCACAGAACTGTACTAAAATAGGGAGGGATTATTCCCAGTGCACCACCACAAAATTAAGCTATGGAGAGGACAACTGCCTGTGTGAAGTCAAAGGAAATGAGTTACAGAGCAGGTACTGGGTTAACCCCAGAGGCTCTGCTCAGGTGTGATCTGTGGGGCTCAAGGTGAAGCCCAGAAAGGTCCCTCTCTGCCTTTGGAATTACATATGAATTCAGAGAACTAGCCACACTCCCATACCTTAATGCTGCTCACAAATGTATCTTTACTAGTTTTAGAAGTACTGATGTCTCAAGAACAGGACAATGGTGGAAAGCCACAAGCTCAGATTCTGTTCCCGGCCCTGACCTGCGTGACCAGGAACCAACCAGCAAGGTGCCCAGATAGCAGTAACCATGCTGGGGGGAGCTGGGGCAGGAAGAATGACACAAACAAGAGGGAAGAGAAGGTGGGCAGCTGTGGCTCAACCATAAAAAAAAAGTCAAGAACCACTGACCTAGGCTAGCTGTTCACAGAACAAAGAGCAGCAGTGGCTCGGCTCGGAGCCTTCCTGATAAAGCTACACCAGAAAAGCATGCCTAATAATGACAGAGTTCAGGCTTAAGAGGAATCTGACCTGGAGACAAAGGCATGTTTGCATCACAAGGCAGCACAGAGCTACCTGCAGCTTTGCTGGCACAAGCCTTGTTTCTCACTCAGAGACTTCCCTAAACGTGAGAAACTTCCCTAAACTTGGTTTCTCTCCTTCCAAACAAGACCCTCCCAGGTAAGCCTGGAGAACTCTCGAACCAGGTAAGTGAAGACAGCTCAGATGAGCATCTCTCTGCTGCTGTTAAAAGGCTGGCTGCCCACCTGCTTTTACTACAGAATTATTCACACTTTTAAGAAATCTGTCACACATTCTTCTCCCTCAAATTGCCTCCCCTTACTCACAGGACCCCCAAAGGAGCTTTCTGGAGAACAACCAGCAAAGCACAGAGTAGTGCCCACACTTCCCGAGTCCCCATGACACAACGTGAGCAAATGCCACACTTGTCAGGACACAGGAATTTCGGTCCTAACTTTGCTGCATGACTACTCGTACCCACACAAGCCTAACTCCAGCAGTGCAGCCCCACATGAATTCTGAGCAAAGAAAGTCTACTCTCTGAAGGACAAACGAGCAGGAGTTTCAGAATGGGGTTTTCCTCCTCCCTCCCCCAGGCCATACTGCTAGGGCGTGGACTGCAGCCCAAGGGAGCACAAGGTGCTGCTCTCAGTCACGCCATCTGCAGAGTGCAAGCGACACAAGGGCTCCAGGCTCGGCACAGCCCAGGCTCCGGCTCCCAGCTGCTTTCGCGCGGTGTCACCACTCTGCTGCGTCACATGCCACTCAAACTTGCCCCGAGCATCTTCGGGGATAGAAGTTTCTCAATCCCTTCAGAGCAGCAGCCCACGCTTAGGGTTTACACGTTCCAGGCCCTGTGCACAAAGCAATGGAGGACACCCTGCAAGAGGCTCCCTACGAAGGGCGGGCGGCAGGGCCGGGACGCGGGGGCAGGTAGGGCCCGGCCAGCCCCGGCGCCGCAGAGCATACATGGCCAGGCGAGCATGGCCACGGCACAGCCCCAGCGCCCGGGGGCTGAGAGGGGCTGTCCGCGCCCCGAGAGGCGCGACCGCAGGGCCGGGTGAGGGCCTGGCGCCAGCGCCGGAGGAAGACCAGCGCGCCGGGCCAGGCGGGCCCAGCACTGCCCCGTCGCTGGGCCCTCCCTTCTCCCGGGTACCGGCCCTGCCAAGCGCTAC